GAAACCCAAGGAGGGGTCGCTATGAGTCGGGGCCGACTCGACGGCAAACAACAGCAACAGTACCACTCTGATAGGAATACACCACAAATGGGATGGCCTTAATAAACAGGAGCTTATTCTCTTACAGTTCAGGAGGCTAGAAGTCTGAGTTCAAAGTGCCAGGCTCTAGGGGCTACGTGAAAGTCCCTCGACCTTGGGCTTCAGCTCTGTCTCTTGCTCCTGGCCCACTGAGGCTAGAGGCATCTCTTTACTCAGGCAGCTACTGGCTGCTGAGGCTAACAAGCCCAAGGTCAACAAATAAAATATTATCAAAGCACATGGCAGGCCATTAATTCAAGTCCATTGTAAGTCCCAGGGTCAGCAGAGCATGGCAGGCTGCTGAACAATGACATGGCTACATGTAGGGTCCAAGCATGCCATAGGCTAGAGACTATCCCCAAGGCTTCTCCTTATACACAGACCACATCCCAAAGGCAGCTACTCAGCTGCTTGTGGTAGATTCCATGATGGAGCTAATTGCCAGTCTCATCATGGGGAGTAACTACCACCAGCTCCCCAGCCATTCAACCAGGCCCAGCCAAGTTGACATATAAATTTAACTACCACACTTCTCTTTATTTTTTCTTAAACAGACTCCAGCCAGTATTAATTTCTTTCACATTACCAAAATTGCTGCTATCAAGATTACAATGACCTCCACAAAGTTTGTTCTCATCTTAGTTAATCCATTAGCATCATTTGACATAGTTAACCATCCACTCCACCTTAAAAAAAAAAAAAGGTTCTCATCTGATAGCCAAAATGCCATATCCCTTTGCCTTTTTCTTACTTTACTGGGCTCTCTGCAGGTACCTCCTCAACTTCTCCACACTTTAATGTTAGAGTGCCCTAGAGCTTAAGTCTCTAGTCCTCTTCTTGTTAACTATATTCACAAATTTGGTACTCTTAGCCAGTCTCATCTCTTTAAAGATCAATATGCCAGAGAATATTAATTTATGTCCAGCTGGAGCCTCTTTCCTAAACTCCATACTTGACTATCCAGCTGCTTACCCAATATCTCCCCCTGAAAGTGGAACAGACATCTCAAAGTTAATATGCACAAAACTGGTTCTCCATGTTCCTCTAAGTCTGCTCCTCCAGGAGACTTCTCAATTTCAATGATAGTCAATCTTTCTAGATGCTCAGGCTAAAAACTACACTTATTCTTGATTCCTTACTGCTTCTTATAACCCATAGAAACAGTGTTAGCAAATTCTGTTGGCTCTGTGCTCAAAATATAGCCATAATCTGATGAATTCTTACCCTTTTACTGCCCTCACTGGAATCTCTTACCTGAATTATTGCAATAAATCTACCTGGATCTTGCAGCCCCTACACTCTATTCTCAGCATAGCAGCCAGAGTGAAACTTTCAAACAATGTAAGAACCTTAATAACTTGAATGTGCTCTCAACAGCAGAAAACAGAAAAGAAGTTTGGAGACTATGTTTGAGAAACTAAATACCCAAACTTCAACAAAGGAAGAGACTAGAAACTTTAGCCTAGATAAGTGTAAAAGCACAGATGTGATTTAAATATTTTAGGACCAAATAGTTTGAGCAGCAGCAGCAGCAGCAGCAATAACAGTCCTCATCAGGAGAACCTGTCCAAGACATCAAGCTAGGTGTAAGCCAGGTATATCAACCAGAGCCTATGCTGATCTGCTGTTCCATAAATTTCAGGTTCCTGCATCCTTCTCTGTCCAATCTCTTTGAGATCCCCACTGAAGCAATTACTCTGTCTCTAACTATAGTTAGGCCTGGATATCCAGTTGGGCATCTGAAAGACTCAGGTCTGAGTTTGGCCTCTAAGATCTCAGGGACATTAGGTCAGGCTGTAAAATTTTCCTTGGTCAGATATTGCACTATTCATTTACAGACCCCATAATTAAAATCCATTCTCTCCTCCTTCTCAAGTCATGCCTCTTTGTCCCGAACAAGTAGAAAGGACAATGCCCTCTGTCCCTTGAATCACCCAGACACTCTATAAACCACTCCTAGGCCCAAATGACCAAACCATGGAAGCCCTCATCCCAGTGGGCAGACAGGAATTCTAGAACCCCTAAGGTTGGGGCTGACATGCTAGACTTCAGTGATTACATTACCAGATCCCAATATTACAGAACACTCTGTCTACTATGAAAACAGTATGTGTTGATGAGATTCATTCATGTAACTCTATCCAGCTATTGTTTGTATAGCTATATTGTGTGGAGCTATAGCATAGGGGAACATAGAATTACTTCTGGTTAAAGTTGGTGATATCAGTTTATAGTTTTTAGAACCTGCCTAATTTGCAATCTGCTTCAGTAGTGCTTGGCAGCCCTAGTGCATGCCTGGAGATGCAAACCCAGTGTTGAGTCTTCCCTACCTTTTTTTTTTTGCCAGGTGGGTGAGATAAGACAATGGGGCAAGTATTTCAAGACAGCAGAAGTGTCTTGGCTGAAGTGATGAACAATGAAATCTAAGCTAGACAAGGAAAACATAACCCAAACCCCACCCAACCCATTGCCATCAAGTCAATTTCAACTCACAGAGACCCTGTAGTACAAAGTACAACTACCCCATAGAGTTTCCAAGGCTGTATATATTTTATGGAAGCACACTGTACAGAAAGACCACATCTTTCTGTAGAGTGGCTTGTGGGGTTGAACCTGATCTTTTGGTTAGCAGCCTAGTGCTTTAACCACTCTGCCACCAGGGCTCTTAAGCTGAACAAGGAAGGGTGAAGATATGAAGGTCTGAGGAATAGGGGAATCTGTGGATTATAGCATAGTGCCTAAGGCATTTGACTGCTAAGCAGAAGGCTGGCAGTTCAAACCCACCAGCCACTCTTCGGAAGGAAGGTTGGGCAATCTACTTCTGTACTGATACCGCCTTGGAAACCCAAGGAAGGTTCGCTATGAGTTGGATCCAACTCAGTGGCATTACATCTGGTTTTTTGGTTTTTGGATTACGTTGTTGTTGTTATTATGTGCCGTTGAGTCAGACCCGACTCATAGCGACCCCTCCTTGGGTTTCCGAGGCAGTATCACTACGGAAGTAGATTGCCCCATCTTCCTTCTGAGGAGTGGCTGGTGGGTTTGAACCACCAGCCTTCTGGTTAGCAGTCAAGTGCTTTAGGCACAATGCTATCAGAGCTCCTTTTTGGATTATACCAATGTTTATCAAACTTTAATGGTTAAGAATCACTTGGGAAGGGCCCTGATCCTGCAATTCTCCAATAGGTCTGGGGTGAAAACCAGAATCTGTATTTTCAACAGTGATTCTCATTGATTCTGATATGAGTGCCTTTGACATTTTTTTCTTTTTTCTTTTTTTTAATAGTGGATTTGAAATTCTAGTGAGTTTAAAAGAAGTGAGATTTTGAGAGAAGCTGAGAGGGGCAGGGAATGAGCGACAAGAGCAAGGGCTGGAAGGATAGGTGGTTACAGTATGAGCTGACTTTTTAACCCTAAAGGTAAACAACCTGGAATGATGAAAGGTTTAAGGTATGCTCAAAGGAGTGGGTAGATGAAGTGGAGGAGGCTGCTGAGCATCATGAGAGGGGAGGAGGTCAAGGTATGGAAAATTTAGGTAAACCATGTGGAGCTTGAAGTCTCCTCAAATGATGCTTCTACTTGCGAAAGAGAACCCAACATTAGCAAAGTAAAGCCACTGGTAAATGAAAGGGTAGACAAAGCAAAGACGTAGGGCAGAGGTGGGGTTTAGAAGTTTTTACAAAATGGTGAAGTGAAATTGGTTAACATTAAATTGAGTGTTTATTGTTGGCCATGTTTTACATATATTAGTCCATTTAATCCTGATAAACAACCATATGAAGTTGGTGCTATGTTTATGTTCCTTTTATGATGAGGGAAACAAGGATTGACAGGCACCTCAAAGTTCTTATCTCCTGTAGTATAATGATCTTCTAAAAATGGTAATGGAAGGTGTTTAAATATGTATCAGCTGAAAAAAATATCAGGACCCTTGAATACTGTTAAGAGCAGGGTTAACTTCTTTAGAAAAACAATGGAAAATTTGTTTGAATTCCATTTGTAGTGAAATACTTGTTTTTCAATATCCAGCAGGTGGCAGCACTAAATAACAATGCTGTATGAGTCATCTAATAAAATTAATGCAGTCTTCATACATCAAAACTTCTGGTTTTTCCATGCTTTGATGATTTCTTCAGCAGCATCCAGTGTACTATCTTTCTGTAAATTAATATAATAATCATTGTTACATATCAAAATAAATTCAAGATGAAGCAAAGATTTAAATAAAAAAATACCGCAATACTAATAAGTGAAGATTTAAGTGAGTATCTGTTTTAAGGAGAAAAAAAGTTTTCAAAGTGAAAATGGAAAGGCAGAGCCACCAAAAAGGAAACAATCAAATTAATATATACTTACAGAAACAAGCCAAAAAGTACAGAGAGCTTACCTTGAAAAATAATACTTATCTGCTCCACCCCTCCCAAGCTCTGGTAAGCATATTGCCTAAGGCACTCGACTGCTAACCAGAAGTCTGGCAGTTCAAACCCACCAATCACTCCTCAGAAGGAAGATGGGGCGATCTACTTTTGTAGTGATACTGCCTCGGAAACCGAGGCATCACTATGAGTTAGGTCCGACTCGAGGGCACATAACAACAACAACAACCACCCCTCCCAACTCTTCCGATACACCTTCCATCCCCCAAGACAACCTTCTATTGGCAATTTCTGATTTTAGTTCTAGTGGTTACCACCCAAATCTAATATGCTTATGCATCTCTTTCTTTCTTTATAAACTTCAGACACTATCCACCATTCTTTGCTCTAAATAAGGAAAATTTATTTAATTCACACTACCTTGTCCCCTCCTATCAAGTTTTGGTTATACTAGTATCAATAATAATTTATTTCTCTTTTGAATAAGGATGAAATGAATGTTGTTGTTGTTAGGTGCTGTCAAGTTGGTTCTGATTCATAGTGACCTAATAAACAACAGAATGAAATGTTGTCCAGTTCTGTGCCATCCTCACAATCAGGGCTATGTTGGAGTTCACTGTTGCAGTCATTGTGTCAATCCATCTCATGGAGGGTTGTGTTAGGCTGGGTTCTCTAGAGAAGCAAAACCAGTGAAACTTTATATATCTATCTCTCTCTATATCTATGTATCAAGAAAATGGCTCACATGGTTGTAGAGGCTGACAAATCCCCAGTCCATGGGTCAGATACCAGGCAGAGGCTTCTCCTGACTTACATAGATAAATCCAAGCTTGGCATGTCATATGGTGGGCTGTTGGCTCATGGGTTGTGAAGGCTGACAAATTAAAGATTAACAGGTAAGACAGCAGGCTGCTGGCTCACAGACTTGGAGGCCAATGAATCCCAAGATCAGCAGGTAAGAGAGTAGGTTGCTGGCGCAGAGGCTGCAGAGGCTGATGATTCCCAAGATCAGCAGGCAATATGGCAGTCTATTGGCTCAAGTCCCAAGAACTGGAAGTCAGATGATGATAAGCCAGATGCAGGGTCCAGAGTGAGCAAAAAAGCTATGAGCTTTTGCCAGAATGTCTGCATAAATTGGATACAGAGCACACCCCGAGAAAACTCCCCGTATGACTGATTGGCTGATCACATCAGATCACATCATGGAAGTGATTACATCACAAAATGGAAGATAACTACATCATAACAAAACTGCCAAATCATATTATACATTATTATATAACACCATTATAAAACTGCCAAACTATATCATCACATTAACTACCAAACTAATGAGAATCATAGACCAGCTTAGTTGACATATAACCCTAACCACCAAAGAGTCTTTCTCCTTTTTGCTGACCCTCTACTTTATCAAGCATGATGTTCTCCTCCAGGGACTGTTGCTCCTTATAACATGTCAAAAGCATGTCATATGGAAGATGGCAGAATAGGCAGACAGCTACACAGACCCTCTTCAACAAAGAAAAG